CCCCTCCCTGGCCCAGGGCTGTGGGAAGTGGGAAAGGGAAGGTTTCTCCTTCTCCTGCCTGCTTCCTGCCCTGGCCATCCCTCCCCCTGGCCTGGCCTGGCCTCTCCCAGGAGAGGCTCTGGAGCCGAATGGATGAAGCTGAGTGCAGGGGCTGTGCTGGGAATTTGCCTCCCGTGAGCCCCCTGGGCTGGGATGGTTCAGGCTAAGGATGCTCTGGGGGAAAGGAGCTCTGGCTGGAGGCGAGGGCCATTAGGGCACTGAGGAGTAAGTGCAGCTTTGGATTCATTCAATCATCCATCCGTCTATCCATGTATCCATCCATCCATCCATCCATCCATCCATCCATCCATCCATCCATCCAACCAATCCATTCAATAAATGTCTGACTCCTTAGCAAGTGCCCAGCCAGTTTTAGGTACAGGGATACAGCAGCAAGCACAGGAATGATCATAACCAGATCTCTGGGCCTGCAGAAGGACTGGACCCCCACTTGAGACCTGGCTCCTGTGCCTGTTTTCCCACCTAGGCCAGGGGCCTTGCCTCTTGCTTCCTCCTTGCCCCCATCTCTGTGCCTGAGACCTCCCGAGATAAGTACCAGTCCCCAGTGGTGGTGGGGAAGGTGGAAGTGGTGGTGACCGCCCGGTGGAGCCATCACTGGCCCTGGCATCATGGGACTGGCTCCTTTGGGCGAGAGCTGTGTGCCGTGGGATCCCACGACCATGCCACTGGGGAAGAGGAGATCCTGGGGCCTCCGCTGCCTTCAGCTGTGGGGCAAACAGTGGACGTGGATGCGAGGCTTAGGGAAGAGGTGACATTTGAGACAAACCTGGGAGAATGGCTAGGGTTTCAGGAGGCTGCGGAGGAGAGAGGAAGAGGGGAAATGAGTTACCTGACCTCCGAGCCTCATCTGCAACATGGGGACGATCCCCAGGGGAGGGCTCAGCAGGATTTTATAGAGGGAGGTATGAGTACCTAACATGGTGGACACCATCGAGAAGGTAGTCAATACACGTCTCTTCTCTCATCCAGCACTAGAAGAGAGAAAGATTTAGAAGTTTTATGCGCTGCCGAGTCAGGGTGGGCAGGGGCGGCTCTCAGTGATTCAAGCCATGTTGGCTGTGGCTGGAGTTGTCCATAGGCCCTAGGTCTTCATTTTCCTACCTGTAAAGTGGGGACAGAGTAGCTTTCCAGCCCAGTGCATGTGCAGTATGATGGAGGGGATCTATGGAAAGGCCCTGCCCCTCAGAGAACACTGGGATGTGTTTGTCACCTCATTTTCCTCCAGTGACAGGCCAGTCAATATCCTAGAGTCTTCAAAAGACCAGAAAGGACCCCTCCCCAGCCAACAGAACAGCTCCTGGACTGCTGAGGGAGACTCGAGGAAACTGGCCTTTGTACCCTCAAAGTGATCTCTTTATGTTCACTCCAGCCTTCCTTCCTCTCAGCCTTAAAGGGCCCGGGTGTAGGATTCTGCCAGACCTGGATTCGAATCCAGGTGCTGCCATTTCCTAGGCAGTCTTTGGGCAAGTCGTTTACTCAGCCGTGGGCTGGGGCTGAAAACGGGGTTTGCGCAGGCTGAAAGGAAATGATATCCGCAAACCTCTGACTCAAAGTAGGTGCACCCGTCTCTTGGTGGCAGACAGCGCCTAGCCTGTCCCTTCCTGCTGCCCTCTTTGTTTCTGTTGATTCCTCTGCCTGAAACACCCTCCCCACTGAAACCTTACTCTTGTGGGCAGACCCAGGGAAGAGGGAGGGTTGTGCTTGGGAAGCAGGTGTTGAAATCTCCGTGCCAGCAACTTGGTTGACCAGTTCTCAGTTAAGCTGAGTGCTCCCTGGCTCTGGGTGGGTGGGGAGGGAACGCGGGTGTCTGGAGTGCCATAAGAAGCACATCGCCCCCCTGGCCCTTCACGCCAGTCCTCAGAACGGTCCAAGGACAGAGCTTTTCTGCATTGTCAACACTGGAGCTGGCTGAGCCAGGTTTTCTCCACCACTGCCGGGAGGGATGTCAGGGCGGACGACAGGCTCTTCAGTCAAGCCAGCTGCTGTCCACATACGGGGTCTGTCCTCAACCTCCTGGGAGCAGGCCAGCCGGCTGCCAACCCAGTCTGGCTTTGGAAATAAAAAGCCCATGAAATCATTTGTGCAAGTTCATCCTGGGGGTGTGGTGTGTGCAGCTCAGGAAACATGATTGAGATGTGGTAGGGTGGAGGGGGTGGGGCAGAACTCAGGGCAGGAGGGGAGAGGAGAGGTGGAGGGGCTGGGTTGTGTGGTCTTCAGAGCCTGGCCACTCAGTGCCATCTGTAGCCGAGCATCACTAGGGAGCTGTCTGCCCCAGCCCTCGCCTGCTGAACCAGGATCTGCATGGTAATAAGATGCCTGGGTGATTGGTGTGCACCTTCTAGGCTGAGACTCGCTGCTTTAGAGACTGGACTAGCTTTGAGTCCCAGCTCCCTGCTTGCTAGCTGTGTGACCTTAGACAAGTTACGTTACCTCTTTGAACCTCAGCTCCCTCATCTGCAAGATAGGCTTAGTTAGAAATTCTTTCCCCAGGAGGGTTAATAATTCACATTAAAGCCAGTGATGTGTGTCCAAGGCAGTGAGCCGGGTGTGTGGCACCCAGACCGTACCCCCCAGTTAATGGTTGCTGGTGCTGTTGCTGTTATTGTGTCTGGAGAGCCAAAGGTCTGGGCTCCCGCTGTCACCTTGGGTGGATTTGGGGCAAGTCTCATTCCCTCTCCGGTCCTCATTTTCTCCATCTGTACAAGGGGTCTATTGGCCCCGCCTCACCTTCCTCATGAGATGGTTGCTCAAAGGAGAAGTGAGGGGTGCTGGGCCTCATTCCAAAGGGCCCCTCTGGGGAATGGGGAGTGTCAGGGAGGTGCCCCTGGGTGCCTGCATCCAAGGGAGGAGCCATGTCATTCTTTATTTTTTGTGCCCTTCTTTGCTACTCCTGTTCTTGCTGCAAGATGTGTTAGAGGGCTGGCTCTAGACACCAGGCTGCAGCCAGAGCCACGCTGGGGCTGGCCTTTGCACCTGCCCTGCTCAGTGGCTTTGGAATTGAGTCGCCTTCCCCACTCTGAGCAGCGTGGCCAGGAGAGATGATTCAGCTTGGGACCTGTGCTCCAGCCTTCACCCCCGAGGGAGGCCCCAGATGCCTTGTGCTCCTGGGCAGGGGTGGAGTGGCCTGGGAACTTTCCCCCCATTGTGATTCCTGTCCCCAACATGGGGCCTGCTCTTCTTGGTGAGAGATGGCCTGGGACTGGACTCCTAGCCTTGCTCCTGATATACTGGGTTATCTGGGTAAGTGGCTTGACCATGCGACCTCAGTTTCCCCATTTGTACAATGATGGGGGAGGTTCAGTAAGATGGTCCCGGCTGGATTAGGCCCTTAGGTTCCCTCCCTGCCCCCTCTTAGCTTCCTCTGTGCCCTCTAGCTCTGGCAGGAATCCCTTGCCCTCCAGGTCTGGACCCTGGAACCCACGCAGATCTCAGCCTAGCAGCTAACGCTAGGGCTGGGAAAGGCCGGAGAAAAGAGGGAGAGGGAGAGAGTGTGTGTCCTCCAGGAGCCCTGGCTGGGGCTGTCTCCTGTGGGAGAGAGGAGGAATTTTCCTCTGTGTGTGCAAACACTATCCGTTTTCTCTTGTTTCCAAAAGCCGGTGACGTAACCGGCTCTCCACCCCTCCCTCCCCTCTGGCCTATTTTTAGCTGGCCCCGACAGCATCCTAAAAGGGTTCCAGACTGCCCTGCTCCGAGGCCATGTAGGGAGGGTAGCAGTCGGGTGAGGAAGGAGAGAAGCTCCTCTGTCTGTCCCAGGATGGACAGACATCCCAATAGGGAAAGAACCTGCCCCCAACTGCCTCCAGGGAGGGAGGAACTCTGTTGGAGGAGCTGGGTTAGGGCCTTCAGGCTTTGACAGTTCCTGGGTCTATGAGGAGCTCCGCAAGGGGATTCTGAGCAACCAGTCTGGAGCCTCCCCATCTGGGTTTCAGTCCTAGCTCCACACTATCTCACCCTGGCCTTGGGCTCAGCTTGTGCCTCTGGGCCTTGCTTTCTGCACCTGGGGATAATGATGGTACCTACGCCAGGGTTATGAGGATTGAATTAACTTCATGTAGAACAGTGCCTGGTACAAAGTAAGTCTCAGCGAAGGTGGTTCTGGAATTGGTATTATCATCCAGCCCCAGGGAAGTGCTCCCACCCCTTCCTGCGGTTAAGGGCAGGGGGGTCCGCTGAACCGTCCTCTGCCTTCTCCCCTCCTGCTTTTCCTGTTCAGCTTCGGGCAGTATGCATGTGAAAGTAGTGGTGTGGAAGCCCTTGGAACAACAGGGCCTGGCACATAGTAAACGCTAAATCAGTGGGAACTGTATTTATTGAGTTTTGTTTTAATGTAATAAAACAAACCTGGGTTTGAATTCCAGCCCCACCCACTGACTCGCTGTGTGTCTTTGGGCAAGACGTTTATTTAACCTCTCCGAGCCTCGGTTTCCACAACTGTAAAATGGAATGATAACACTGACATAGGAGCTTTCTGTGTTGGTTTAGGGAGGCTGTAGGGCATCGCAATGCTTAGCACAATGGGTGCAAAGAAGATCCTGAGAGTGGAGCTGGCTGCAGCCTGGCTTCTAAGGACTAGCTTTGCTACTGCATCTTGCAGCAACAGCAGAAGCAGCAGCAGGCAGTGCTTGCACAGCACTTTACAGTTTGCATGCAGGCAGGTGGTGGTCCCTCCCACCTCTCTCTTCACGAAGTCCTGGGCTCATGCCTTAATGTGGCACTTGTCACCACCACCTGGTACTCTGGTTATACATCAGCCTGGCTGTCCCCTCACACCACCTCCCCTAGGCTGGGAGCTCCCAGAGGGCAGGGAGGGATGGATGCCCCAATGCACCTTCCTTGCCCACCTCAAGATAGGCCCCGGGTGGGTGTTGGGGTTGTGTCTGAGGGCTGGACTGGCACAGGGAGCTCACCTTCTGACCACCTGTTCCTCTTGGCTTTTGCAGATGGGAGGAGGAGCTCGCCAAGCGCATGAACCTTCAGACCATGGTGGACACGCTGCAGGAGGTAAGAGCCCTCAGACATCCCGACCAGGAGAGGCATGCCAGAGAGCCTTGTGGCCAAGGGGCACAGTCTTCATGTGGCAAAGCCAGGAAATTCTTGCACAGCCCCTACTCTGTTACCTCCTACTGCCTCAGTCTCTCCTTTATGGAGCCAAGAGATCTCTTCCATTTCCTCTGCTTGGAAGCTAGGAATGGACCGGCACAGTGTTGCACACGAGCTCTGATGCAGGGGTTGAGAAGCCTGGGTCTGGGTCCCAGGGTGCAAGTCCCAGCTGCTGTAAGAGCTGGGACCAGCGACCCTTCTCACCAGTCACCGTCTCCCCACCTGAGGCTTGGACTAGGTGGTCTGTAAGCCCCCAAGCAAGAAGGGTGCCCTTGGTTGGGGCTGAAGGCCTTGGAGAGGGCAGGTGGGCATGTCACAGGTGGGCTCCCAGCCTGAGCAGGCTCTCTGTGGTGGGCATTTGGAAACATTCCCCGTGCCGCTCTAGCTGGAATCTCTGCATTCTGGGCTCTGCAACTCCCCCGCCTGTGGTGTAACCTGAGCAGCAAACTTCATCTTCTCAGCCTCTATTTTCCTCTCTGTCAAATGGGAACAAAAGTAGCAACCCCATGAGAAGGCATGAAAAGTTCTTCCAAAAATGTCTAGAAATTGTGTTCTGATCTGAAAGCATTTCTCGTCTAAGAAAGAGACAGATTAAGATAATTGCCAGTGGGTAGAAGGAAAAGTTTGAATGTCTCCCTTTCTTTTATAACAAAAGTGCTTTTTTCTTTATACATTTAATGGGTTCATGGTCAAATATGTGGAAGCTATAGAAAAGCACAAAGAAAATACAAATGATCTCCAATTCCACCCCTCCACAGTTGAAAAACTGGCGTGTGACCTTCCGATCTTGTCTGCAGACGCACACCCACGCTCTTTAGATGCATGTTAGATCGACACACATGACATTGTCATTTTTGAAAGCAGAGATGGCCCAATATTGGCAATTTCACACGGATTGATCTCGTATTTTTCATGTAATAGGATTGCTTGTTAATTAACCTGCTCTTTTAATACCTGCCATGGATTTTCCCACGTAATAGATAATCCTTCGGAAAGTGTTTTAAGCAGTCAGCAGTGTTCAGTGGGAAGCCAGGCAGGATGAGGTCCTTGGCGCCCCTTCCCTGGCATGCAGGTGCCCAGCTGGGGTGGACATCGGGTGCCTAGGGCTCTGGACTCAGGTGTCCAGACCCTCCTATCCCCAGAGGACCTGGCCCCTCTGAAGCCTCCCCATCTCCGTCCCCGCAGGCAGCACAGGAGGCTGATGCCATCCAGGAGGAGATGAACGAGAAGATCGAGCGGCTCAAGGCCGAGCTGGTGGTGTTTAAGGGGCTTATGAGTGACGTAAGTGCCGCCCGCCGCCCCTGGGTGTCATGACCTCCCCCACACCCATCATGCAAAATGCTTCATTCCCTCCGAGGCTCTGGAGCTCGGCTTCTAGTTAGAATCCTGGCTGGCTGTGTTTGACTGTGAGGATGACGGATGCATTGGATGCATCGGAGACCAGGCACCCTCCTCCCGCCCCCTCCCCACTTCTGCTTCCCTTGGTCTGAGTAGAGATGCATTAATCTGCCGCTTAACCCATCCCGCCCTGCCCCGGGCTCCCCTGATGGTCTGTGTGTGTTTGCTCCCACTCCTTCCCAGCTCGCCTTGATGAGGGCAGGCCTTGGTGTCTGGGCGCAGCGGGGTGTCTGGCAGGTTGGGCCGGGTGCCGTCTGGTCTGTGCGGGCCCGAGAGACTCGCAGGCCCAGCGGCCTTCGGCAGGGTTGCTCCGTGAGGTCAGGAAAGGCCGGCGTGCGTGTCTTTTTGACAATCCGGGGCCCCTCTGAGTATTGTGGGTGGGGGGAGCTGTTGGCCGCAAAGGGCTTCTTGCTGCTGGGGACCCAGGTCTCCTCCTTCCAACAGTGGGCAGTACAGGGGGAGACCCCACCAGAAGGCAGAAGGGGCCAGAACATGGGTGACTGAGCCTGGCGTGGCTCCTGGTGTGGAGGGACGTGAAGCTGGGTGAGGTTGCTAGAAGCCTCCCAGGACCCTAGTTGGAGGCCACTGGGCTCCCTCTCGCTTGTGTCCAAGGGGATCCACCCTGTCTCCTCAGTGACTCCCACTGCTGGTCGTGGGAGGCATCCGAGAGAGAGAGCTGCCTGTGTCGGGGACAGGCGGGGTGTGCGGGCGGGAAAAGAAGGGCTCTCTTTCTCCAGCGGGAGTTTGGCTTTCTTTTTCCTTTGCACTAACAAAGTAAACATGGATCCTGTGTCTGCTGGGAGGATGCCTTCCAGCCCTTAGGGAGAGCAGCACACACGGTGTCACACTGGCCCCCGACTCCCAAGGCCCCGACCCCATCCCACCCTGAGCAGCGCCGCAGCCCTCCACTCCACGGAAAAGCCTAAGGCACCCTCGGACTCTGGAGGCCTCCCCGCACCACCCCTGCTGACACCTAGGGGTCTCCCCACCTCTGTGCCCAGCCCCCCAGGCTTGCTCCATCCCTCGCTCATGTAAACCCTGCTGTCCTCCCTGCAGCCCATGACAGACCTGGACACAAAGATCCAAGAAAAGGCCATGAAGGTGGACATGGACATCTGCCGCCGAATCGATATCACGGCCAAGCTGTGCGATGTCGCACAGCAGCGGAACTCGGAAGACGTGTCCAAGATCTTCCAGGTGACTAGGGCTGCCCTGCTCACCAGCCAACCCCCCGCTCTCCCGGAGCAGCCCTGGCCTCCAGCCCTGCCCAGCCAACCCCTGTTTCCCTCCACATCCCACTCACTCCCTCCCCTTCCCCGAGAGGTAGCACTACCGGACCCTGTGGCCTCCCCAGGTAAATGTAGAATCAGGCACCCATGAACTCATAGGCTCGTCTGACTGCTTCATCCTGTGGCTGGGGAGACCGAGGCCCGGAGGGTGATGCGCTGTGCTCAAGGAAGGAAGTGGCAGAAATCAGTCTCCTGCCCCTCCAGGGCTTGGTCCACCAGCCTACACTGTACCCACTGCCCTACTTCCTGCTCCTTCCTCTGGGTGCTCGGACTGGGCATCATCCCCATGGTTGGGGAACCCTGGCCAGGTTATGGGGAGAACTGGGGGAGCTGGCCTGAGCTCTGGTAGAGGGACCTTAGAGTTCAGAAGGGGAGCTGTTGGCCTTTGACTATGTTTCATTCCCCCCCAAAGAGGCTCTCGATACCCCCCCGACCTAACGTGCAAGTGTGGGTGCCCCCGAGAGACGGCGATCAGGTTAGCGCCAGTGAGGCTGTCTTCTGGAGAGGGCTTGGGGGGCCAGTCCAGCCGAATGAGGCACATGTCATTCTCCAAAGGCTGCTTCTTGAGTTTCGGGTTGTGGTTTGGCTTTTGCTTGAGCCCAGGGCAATACGGTGTGTTGTCGCTCTGTGTGTGTGACTCTGACGTCGCTGGGCCAGATCCGGGCCTCCCTGGGCCCTCTCTCCACCTCCATGCCTTCTTGCTGTCCCTCTGCCGGGAAGCAGGGGAGGCCAATGCAGCCTTCGTTTGCTCGTGGCTTGTCTGCTTGGAGTGGAAGCTTTTGGTGAACCTTGGGCCGCCTGTCCTTTGCCTTTGCATGTGAGCAGGAGGGCTCTGGGCAGCATGGGGCCGTATGGCCTTTGTCAGGGGTTCTCCGTCTCTCTGGCTGGCTCTGAGATATCCCAGGTGACTCTGTGTCCTGGTGTGGCCTGCTCCTCTCTCCAAACTGTGGAGTTGCTTCTGTGGTAAAAGGGCGAGCTGAACCGGCGCACCCACCAGGCCGCCCAGGGCAGGGAAGAGTCCAGCCCGTCTGTGTCCCCCTGCATGTATCCCACCTCACGCTTCCTGCTAACGCCGCCTGCTTCTTAGAGGACCTGCACCTTTCCTGGCACTGGCCGGCCCCAGTCACGCTCATCATCCTGTGAGATGCCGGCTCCCTTCCCAGTTCACCCCTCCCCTCCATCCTAGCTGAGCCCCCCAGTTACCTTGATTGCTTCCTTTCTGGTTCAGGTGGTCCCCAAAAAGAAAGAACGTAAGGTGGCTTCCGATGATGACATCTCCGAGCAGGACGGGGAGGTGAACCGGTTCTCGGATGACGAGGTCGGCTCCATGAACATCACCGATGAGATGAAGCGCATGTTTAACCAGCTGTGAGTATCCCCGTGGCCCGCACACTCTCCGTTTCCCCGGATTGCTTGGGCAGGGGCAGTGAATGGGAGGCTTGGGCTGAGAGTAGCCCGCAGCACTGGAAGAATTTGGATTCATTTCCTTTTTTTTTTTTTTTTTTTTTTTTTTTTGAGACAGGGTCTCGCTTTGTCACCCAGGCTGGAGGCTGGAGGGCGGCAGCATGATCACAGCTCACTGCAGCCTCAACCTCTTGGGTTTAGGGATCCTTTCATCTCAGCCTCCCAAATAGTTGGGACCACAGGCATGTGCCACCATGCCCAGCTAATTTTAAAATTTTTTTGTAGAGACAGGGTCTTACCGTGTTGCCCAGGCTGATCTCAAATTCCTGAGCTCAAGCGATGCTCCCGCCTCGGCCTCCCAAAGTGCTGGGCTTACAGGGGTAAACCACTGCACCCAGCCAAGATTCATTTCAACATTTGTAATTTGGGAAATTTCATATGTTCAGCCTCTCTTGGAAGCTTAAAGAGGTCAGGCAGTGCTGAACCTGGGGCACAGTTTAACAGGGCTGGATGGCAGCTGCTGAATCTGGACAGGCGCATACTCTTCCATTCACCAGCATCCTTTATGTTCCCCGTCTGCCATTCTCCTGTCTTTCCTTTGAAAACTTCCTCCAAAAAAGCGGTGGGAGAAGGGGTGTTCTTGCCCATGAGATACAGGGGCTGGGCTGTCCCCTCCCTGGTCATGTGTAAACATGTCTGTGTCTAAGGATGTCATGAACCCAGAAAGGGCAATGGCAGATGTGGTCTTATTTGTAGGCTATTTTTCTTTTCTTTTCTTTCTTTCTTTCTTTTTTTTTTTCTTTTTGAGACAGAGTCTCATTGTGTCACCCAGACTGGAGTATAGTGGCAAGATCTTGGCTCACTGCAGCTTCTGCCTCCTGGGTTCCAGTGTTTCTCCTGCCTCAACCTCCCAAGTAGCTGGGATCACAGGCATGCACCATGATGCCTGGCTAATTTTTGCATTTTTAGTAGAGTCAGGGTTTCACCATGTTGGCCAGGCTGGTCTCGAACTCCTGACCCCAAGTGATCTGCCTACTTTAGCCTCCCAAAGTGCTGGGATTACAGGCAAGAGCCACCTCACCTAGCCTGTGGGCCATTCTTGAGCAGACCTTAGCCAGACCCACCTGCACTAGTTTGCCCTTGGTGGGCTGGCTATGTTGACCACATGGCTTGCAGAAATGGCTCCTGACGTTCACTTGGAGGGGGCCCCACAAATGTCACTTTGCTGACTCCAGATGCCCAACCTAGGAGATGGGGTATCACTCCCCTTTTGTAGACAGGGAAACTGAGACTCTGAGAAGAGAAGGGATTTGGGCAACACCGCTCAGCTAGTATGTGGCTGAGCTGAGATTCAGAGCCAGGCCGCCTCCCACACTAGTGCACTCTCAGTAGGAAATGCTGCTGGGGGTGGTGGCAGGGTCTGGGCTGGGTATGGTCAGTGGTGGGCAAACCTGCTGGTGCCAGCTCTTAGAAGCTGCTATACCCACTCCAGGCTCAGTGATGTCATGTTAGTACCCTAAAATTTGCTATTGCGGGAAATCGGCAAATGCTACCAATCAGAGCCTGGGAGGCTCTGCCGCCTTCCGAACCCCCCTAGAAAGGGCATGTTCCTTCTAGCAGATGCCTTTGACATCACTTGTTTCAAAAGCCAGGGGCATGGGCTCTCCTAACCTTCCTGCAGAGCTCTGAGGCTGGCTCAGAATTCCAGGGTCCAGAGCTCACTCCACCCGGCCCCTCAGAGGGGCACATGTGGAGTTAGGACAGAGCTAGGCCCCCAACTCTTGGTCCAGTGCTTTGCCCCCCATGCCACACTCGGAAGAGAATTCTCTCTTCTGTCCCTATTGTAGGCTGACTTTTAAGGTAGACAGGAGGCAGGGGCAGGGTTGGAACTGGGTGGGGACAGGAACTCTTTTGCCTGATACTTCCTGGACCTGCCATTCCTTTGAAACAGAACTGAGATGGGAACTGTATGTTGGGGGTTTGCTATTTAAGGGTGATAAGGAGACCCCTAGATTCTTGATTCCTCTTTTGATACCCCCCATCTCATTTCTCATCTTTTGCTGCCTGCCAAGAGGAGCTTTTTTTTTTTTTTTTTTTTTTTTTTGAGAAATGCTCAAAAATGAAATGCTGTGTCACCCAGGCTGGAGTGTGGTGGTGCGATCTCAGCTCACTGCAGCTTCTACCTCCTGGGTTCAAGCAATTCTCCTGCCTCAGTCTCCGAAGTAGCTGAGACTATAGGTACACACCAACACACTCAGCTAATTTTTTTTTTTTTGTACTTTTTTAGTAGAGATGGGGTTTTACCATGTTGCCCAGGCTAGTCTCAAACTCCTGGCCTCAAGTGATCCGCCCACCTTGACCTCCCAAAGTCCTGGAATTACAGGCATGAGCCACTGCACCCGGCCAATAGGGGCTTTTGGAAAGAACCACTGGTTGGAACTAGGTTTTTTGAACATTGCCCTGGGCATTTCTGAGCCTAAGACAGGACTGTATGCCCTGGAGACCCCAGGCTGGGTCCACGTGGTTAAATTAAAGGGCTTCTCTGAAGAAATTATTGTCCCTGCTTTTGTAAAGTCCCCAGGGCATTGTTAAGCTGACCAGGAATGGGGTGAGCTACAAAAGGAGACAGATCAGAGTGGAAGCCAGGAGGCCCCGTGGGCAAAGGCTCCAGTGTGTGGAAACAGCATTCAGATCCAAGTCAGGCGAGACTGGCTGCAGGAACGGGCGCCTCAGTGTTGATAGAGCTGAATTGGGTTCACTATGGAATTAGATTTAGCTGGTTGTGAAGTTACCTAAGTTAAAATAAACAATGAACCCTCTGATCACTTTGATCACCCCCATCCCCGTTCTGCAGTTCTGTGTAGGTCACCCTGACCCCACCGCAGGCGGGGCCCTGGGCCTTTCCCGTGGACATCTCCACCAGCTGTGGGCAGGACCTACCTAGCCAGGCTGCCCCTGGCCAGATCTGATGAAGTGTTTGAGTAATGCAGCCGTGTTTTGTTTTGATCCAAGTCGGTTGTTTGGGCTTCAGATCAAGAAGAAGAGCGGGAACGTGCAGCTCTCCCCTGGCAGGGCCAAGGCTCCTCCTCAGCCCCACCTTGCAGATTTGTGAAGTGGGGGTCTCTTCCGAGTTCCTTCTCTTGCCCGTCTTTCTGTCCTTTCCAGCTTCCTGTCCCTCGGCTGGGGTTTCCTTCAGATCCCAGACGCTGGGAAGGAAGTGAAGTCAGGAATCGAGTATGTGATGCAGTGAGGGCTGGACCCTGGCGGCTCCTGGCCACACGGCCCTCTCCAGCACCCGCCCCCCAGCTCAGGACCCTGGACTCGGGGAGCCACCTATGGACTCCTGTGGGAATGGCTTTTGGAGGGGAGCCAGCCCTGCCTGACTCCAGGGGGCGCTCGAGGCAGCTTTTTACCAGACAGCCTTCTTGGGACCTGCCCAGTCTCCAACCCAGTCCATTGGGAACACTCATTGCCCCGGAGGATCCAGGAAGGAGTTGAGGGAGGGCGGGCAATGGGGAGAGCCCTGGGAGGGCAGGGTCCACACTGTCGTGTGCTACCGATGCACTGGGTCAAGTGATTTCACTCCTGCAGACTTAGCCTTCCCCTTGGAAAGAGGGGTATATTGGATGAGCTGATCTTTAGGTCTCCTCCAGTTGGGGTAACCAATGCATCTTGGGAACCCCTTAGTCCCAGTCAAACCTGCATGGTTGGTCAACCTACTTCTGGTTCTGGCCAATAGGGAGGTCTTGACATCTCCCAGGCTTTGAATTCAAATCTTATTTCCAGCATGTATTGTTCTAGAAGGCCACTCAATCCCTCTGAGCCTCTGTTTTCTCACCTGTGAAATGGGAATGATAGTTATGCTTACCTCATGGGATTGTTTTGAGGTGGAATTGTTTTGAGGGCGTTGCATTTTACTGCATGCTTAGTGGCTGGTCCAGTGCCCAGCACCTAACGGGTGCTTGGGGAGTGTTTTGATGGGGAGGAAAAAGCTGTAGGAAACATTCGGCATTCTAGCCTGTTTCTGCTACATGCTAGCTGTGTGACTTTAGACAGTTGAGTTATCCTTTCTGAGCCACCATTTCTTCATCTGTAAAATAGGAATAATACCAACCTTCCCAAATTGCAGAGAAGATGGTATTATATTGAGCATCTCACTCAAACTAGGGGCTCAAGAAATAGCAGTTAAATGAATGAGGAAAATTGCAAGATTGGACTTGGAGGAAAATATCTTTAGTCCCAATTAATTAAAGCCTGACATTAAAAAAAATACACATTTTTAATTGTACAAACGATACATAAATACATTCTGCATTTTAAAAGAGTTAAACTCCTTTTGGATACGGCGAATGTCGCCTTTGGCTGCTACCCCTGTCTTTTCTGAGGACAGCCTTGAAGGTGTGTACCTATTGGGCAGCTGCCCCTTTCTGTCCCCTGTGTGGGTCCCTGGAGCCTGGCTTCTGTTCAGTCATGCCCTCTGGTGTCACCTCCACAGGCGGGAGACCTTTGACTTTGACGATGACTGTGACAGCCTGACGTGGGAAGAGAATGAAGACACACTGCTGCTCTGGGAGGATTTCACCAACTGCAATCCGACCATCGACCTGCAGGGCGAGGTGAGCCCGGCGCCTGGCTTCCCAAAGGCCAGGACTAGGGACCTGGGGGGCACTTCCTTTCAATGGTCCCTCATCCCTGTTATTTTTCTACAGCCCCCACCACCCAGCTAAACTATCCCCTTTGGGCAGGGCGCAGTGGCTCACGCCTGTAATCCCAGCACTTTGGGAGGCCGAGGCGGGCGGATCACCTGAGGTCGGGAGTTCGAGACCAGCCTGGCCAACATGGCGACACCCCATCTCTACTAAAAATATAAAAATTAGCCAGGCCTGGTGGTGTGCACCTGTAATCCCAGCTACTCGGGAGGCTAAGGCAGGAGAATCACTTGAATTCAGGAAGCAGAGGTTGTAGTGAGCCGAGATTGTACTCTGCACTCCAGCCTGGGTGACAGAGCAAGACTCCGTCTCAAAAATAAATCAATAAATAAAATAAACTGTCCTCTTTGTTCTATTTCCCCAGCAAGAGGAAAACTTGGGCAACTTGATCCACGAGACCGAATCCTTCTTCAAGACGAGAGACAAGGAGTACCAGGAAACGATAGGTCAGATCGAGGTGAGGGCTCGGGACGTGGAGCCCACTTGTGAGGCTCTCCTGAGGTCCATGTGGTTGAGATCCTGGCAACCAAATGCCCATGTGTCATGGGCAGGGGCTGGTAGAGTGGGACAGGCATAGGATTGGGAGTCAGGAGGCCTCAGGGGCGACTAACATATTTCTTAGGGCCTCAGTTTCCTAATCTGTCAAATGGGGGTAGTGATCCTTGCCTGCCTCAGAGAATTAAAAAGAATATATGTAGCTGAGAAGACAATCCCATAATAACCACAGAGCTGACATTGGAGTGATAGTGAGTGACGCAAGGTGCTGAGTACACCCGGTATCCTTACCTCTACCCTATGCAGTAGGCACCATGCACTCCTTTTACAGAGGAGGAGATGAGGTTGGAAGAGACCAAGTGACTTGCCCAAGGCCTTGCAGCCAGGAAGCAGCATTGAAGTACAGTTCTCTCTGGCTCCAGAGGCTGTGCACGTGATCACGTCTATAAATGACAGTCATTGCTATTGTGCAGGAGAAAGGGAAGCCCAGCTCCTTCCCTAGAGGAAGTATCACTTGATAGAGGACAAGAGTCAGAAACATGAAAAAGCCTTCAGGATTTTTGTAATCAGGTCTGGATAAAGGGACCCAGAGATGCCGAGTTCTCAGAACCGGGTGGGGCACATCAGAGCCAGGCTGCTGCTGGGGTTGCTAAGCAACCATTCCCCTTTGGCCAGAAGGAGTTCTAGGGGACGTGGACCCATGTGCAGAGAGCAGAGGGTGGGGGAGGTTGATGTCCAGAGGCCGAGTCCTGATGATGTAGTGTCCAGTGGTGGACTCGATGGCACCTTCCCTGAGGAATCCAGGAGGGGAGGTTGCTGAGGCTTCTGCCACGAGGATGACTTGCCCTCACCCTTCTTCCTCATTGGTTCCTCCCAGCTGGAGCTGGCCACAGCCAAGAGTGACATGAACCGACACCTGCATGAGTACATGGAGATGTGCAGCATGAAGCGAGGACTGGACGTGCAGATGGAGACCTGCCGCCGGCTCATCAAAGGCTCCGCAGACAGGTACCCGCCTGTCCTCCCAGGGGATTCAGCTATGGCGTCCTTGGAGGGAAATTCCCAAGGCTGCAACTCGGCCATGTTTCATACTCCCAACCTATCTCTCTGTCTGTCTGTCTGTCCGTCCGTCCGTCCATCCATCCATCCATACATACATCCAGTGACTATTAGCACACCTATGTGCCAGATGCCTTACATATCTAACCTCATGCAAGTCCCACCACCACCCTGCCCCTTGTTGATTCAATAGATGCTTGTCAAAGGCCTGCTCTGTGTAAGACGGTGGGGCCAGTAAGTACAGCCCTCGCCCTCGAGGAGCTGAAGCCCCATTTTCTGCTGAGCTGGGGAGCAGTTCACAGGAAGTGATTTCCCTTCCTTTGCCATCTGTTAGTCTGTTCTCATGGTGCTATAACGAACTGGCTGAGTCTCAGCGTGGTGGCTCACACCTGTAATCCCAGCACTTTGGGAGGCTGAGGTGGGAGGATCACTTGAACCCAGGAGTTCAAGGCTAGCTTAGGCAACATAGCAAGATGCCATCTCAAAAAAAAAAAAAAAAAAAAAAAATGCCTGAGACTGGGTAATTTATAAAGGAAAGAGGTTTAATTGACTCACTGTTCCACACAGCTGGGGAGGCCTCAGGAAACTTATAATCATGGCAGAAGGCACCTCTTCACAGGGCAGCAGAGGAGAGAATGAGTGCCTAGCAAAGGGGAAACCCCCTTATAAAACCGTCAGATCTCATGAGAACTAACTCACTATCGCGAGAACAGGATGGGGGAAACCGCCGCCATGATTCAATTATCTCTAACTGGTCCCTCTCATGACATGTGGGGATTATGGAAACTACAATTCCAGATGAGATCTGGGTGGGAACACAGCCAAACCATATCATCTTCTTCCAACCCAGGTCCTGTCCCCAGGAGACTGACATGTGTCAGGCATGGCACACAAGGCAGAGCCCCTGCCTTCAAGGACACACAGCCTTGTCGGGGGACAGCCATGCTGAGAATGAGCTAATATGCAGAGAATGCCTGCCACACAGCACAAATACATTTTGGTTGTTTTCCTCGTTTTGCTGTATGAGAGGAGGGACAGCCCTGTGGGGAGCAGATCTGTGTGCAGGGCCGTGGCCTTGCCTTTCAGACCTTTAACTCCTTGAACCCGCAGAACCCACTGTGGTTATCTCCATTATTCAGACAGAAGAGCAGACACTTAGGCAGGTTAAACAGTTTGCCTAAGCTCCCCCACCCCCAGCTCATCTGAGATAGAATCATAACTGCAGCCCAGTGATGTTAACCATATCCTGCATGGCCTCCTTTTGAGTGCTGAGTCATCCAGGGTTTACTGAGCACCTACTATGTGCCCAGACCTGGGTTAAGTGCTTGGAGGGTAACAGACAAACTTGATCCACGGTCCAGCTCCCAAGGGGTTTTCTTCCTAGAGAAGTCAACACAGCCAGACCAAGCAGGGGGCGGTGCAGGGGGTTACCTCGTGAGCTTAAAGGATCTTAAGGATAGCTGAGTGAGGCAGGAGCTCAGGGCAAGGCTCCTCTAAGGGTAGATCTTATAGAAGTGGCAACTCAGCCTTCCCACTCCTTGACCCTTCAGAGGCCCAGGGCTGCTCTCTGAATTTCCCCACTCTCTTGTGCTTCTCAGGAATTCACCGTCCCCCAGCTCCGTGGCCAGCAGCGACTCAGGAAGTACAGATGAGATCCAGGATGAGTTCGAGCGGGAGGCAGATGTGGAGCCCATGGTCAGCTGATGACTGAGGCCCTGCCAGCCTGGTGGTCTTGGTGATGGGGCCCTGCCACCTCTCCTCACGGGGCCAGGAAGGCCCCTTGGAGTGGGGTTCGAAGCCGCACCACACAGACTTTCTCTGCCCTCCCTTCTCTGGAGGCCCCGAGGGACTGCTGCTTCCTTCCTTCCTTCCACACCACCAACGGGTGCCCCGTCTCCATCCCCCACCCACCCAAGGAATGGTGCTGTCAATTTCTATTGTTCTCCACATTACAAATGCAGACTTCTGTGCGGACTTTGCAGTGTTAACTGTGCCTTCTCCCTTAAGCTGAGCCACTTTGAGCTCCAAAGAATTATTCCTAGCAGGTGTTTTTATACAGAACTTTAAGGTGAGGGCCGGGCCGGCTGGCCGTGGCGTAATGTGGTTTCTGCCGTCCGTCCCACCTGCTCCTCTGATTGGCCATGGGCTACGCCCTCCCTTCCCCCTGAGCCAGCCCAGACCGGCCTGGGGCTTGGGGTGCTCTGCCAACCCCCAGGAAGGAGCCGCTTGCCTCTGTGAGCTTTCTGGGCCTGGGTAGGGACCACCCCAATTTTCTCACTCCCTGAAGGAGAGAAAGGTGGAAGGAAGGGAAGGAAGACACATTTTAATTTTTTGGGGGGATCGAGTGGCAAAGTTGAAGGGACAAGGCACTGTGAGGGGAATGCGGAGCCTCACTGTGTTTAAACTACTATGCAAAAAACAAAACAAACAACAAAAGCAGCTTGCCTTATTTCATTGTGGAAGGCAGGACCTCTCCTGGGCTCCTGGCTTCCCCTTGGAGCTGGGAGGGAGGCCGGGGTTAGGGTGATCTGTGTCGCAGCACTGACTGGGTAGCGTGGGTTTGGCTGAGGTTGGTCAGGAGGCCGGGGTTCCCGCAAGGCACTGGCCTGCCTGACCGCTTGCTGTCTTCGGGGCCTCTGCAGGTTCAGGGCAGGGGGCAAGGGGGTCTTTTATTGCCCTGATAACTTGATGTTCTTCCCTCCGTCGCCAGTCAACAATAGAGGGTTAGAGATCTGTAATTTCTCTGTGAGAAAGTCTGAAGGGGCCAGGCCCGGTCTCTGCTCCCTTCCACCCGCCTTGGGTTAGGACTGTCCGGCAGTTGCCCGCTTTTGGCCACTGGCAGGAGAGAGGCCTGCTGGGCTGCTGGCAGGGCAGGAGCTGGAGTGAGGGCCATCCTCTTTCTGCTCCTGGACACACGCAAGCCTCTCTCAGCAATTCCCTTGACTGGCCAGTCAGGGTGTTGATCTGAGCCAGTATCCCCCAAGACTTGAATGGCTTGAGTGGGCCTGCATTGAAGGGCACTGTGTGGCGACCCTCCCCCTTCCAAATCTCAGCTTGGAGCCAGCTGAGCAGGCTTTGCTTTATTATTATTTTTTAACCTTTTTTACCGACTGCAGTGGGTCTGTTGCCAATTTTAATTTTTTGTTGTCCCAGGAGCTCCCTCTAGTGGTAAAAGTAGCAAAATGTGCCCAAGGACTAGAACTTGGGTCCCTCTGCCTCGTCTGGAGGCAGAGGAGGGGGCTCTGGGTTTGACTGGGATTGTGGTCCCCAGAGGTCCATGGCCTTTAAGGGTCTTCTCTGTTTTCTGTTTCCCCCACCTGTGTTACAGTCTTAAAAATACTGTACATAATAGATACACGTAGAGAGAGAGAAAGCGTGAGAATGTGTTAGTGACTACGTGTGATGTAATTTATCACGATTTGGTGGCCTTCGTCATGAGTTTTTTCCTTTGTTTTATTTTGCTGGGGGCACCTCCCATAGGTCCCCTGCGGCAGTCTGGCTGTGACTCTTCCATAGTCAGCATCTCTTGTTAGCCAAACAGTTCCCTTTGGCAGGTACTTGGAGGGACAATGGTTTTGGAAGAGAGACGGCCCTTCTCTCTCCTCCTCACTGACCCTTGTTCTAAAGGTTACAGGGTTCAAACATACCTGATTCTTGTTGTTATTGTTGTTGAATTTTTATTTTAACCAAAGGTTTTCAGAGCCAGTTGGGCTTGAACCTCAGCTGCTAAAAAGATTTTCCGTTTCCACGAGGGCAGGAAAACATCCACCCTCGTGGGTCTCCTCCGTCCAGGGCTGAGGGAGGCGTTGGACAATGTGGTGTGGGAGTTTCGTGGGCAGCGTGGAAGCCAGCCCTGGTTTGTTCCCCAAGGTGGTGGGAGGGTGACAGACGTATCTTTAAGAATTAAGACTGTAAGGCAGCAGTGTTAGTGTTGGAGGGTAACAGGTTACTGTGGTGATCGGTGTCCGGCGGTATTATTTTTACTTTCCTCCTTGTATACATAGGTCATTTGTCTTTGAGAACTAGGGTACTTGGCCGGGCGCGGTGGCTCACGCCTGTAATCCCAGCACTTAGGGAGGCTGAGACGGGCGGATCACGAGGTCAGGAGATCGAGACCATCCTGGCTAACACGGTGAAACCCCGTCTCTACTAAAAATACAAAAAAAAAAAAAACTAGCCGGGCGAGGTGGCGGGCGCCTGTAGTCCCAGCTACTCCGGAGGCTGAGGCAGGAGAATGGCGTGAACCCAGGAGGCGGAGCTTGCAGTGAGCTGAGATCCGGCCACTGCACTCCAGCCCGGGCTACAGAGCAAGACTCCGTCTCAAAAAAAAAAAAAAAAAAAAAAAAGAGAACTAGGGTACTCTAGGGAGTTTGAAAATGGCAGGAGCCAGAAAGAGATCCTGGCCTGAAAGTCCCTTCCTGCTAGCTTTTAATATCTGCTCTCCTCTTGGGAGTGAGGACTTGGGGCAGGTGGGTGGGAGAGGGTTAGCCAGAGTGTGATGGGCCTGCCTCCTGGGCTGGTTCCGGGGTCCGGCCTGCCTGACTGCCTGCCTCTCCACCACATGCTTTTTTTCAGTTAATGCCAGTGGGCTGTGCTTGTCCCCTCACCATGAGCCCACAGCTTGCCAAGAAAGAGCCCAAAGCTCGCTGGGGCAGCACCAGTCCTAGCTGGGACGAATTGGTCCATCCTTTGTAAAGCTGTAAATACTTAGTCTTGACTTTCTATTTCTAAGCCCAGTGTCATATTGACACTGGTATTTTAGAATTGTTCTCAGATGGGCTCTCCTGCGCTGCCCTCTGTCTCCTATTTTTGGGGGTTTTATACAAACAGAGGATTGGGGAGGGATAGGAAGACTAGCATCCATTTGGCTCCCTGGTTGGTTGTGAAATACACACACACACACACACACACACACACACACTCCTCTGAGACTCCAAACAGAGAAAAAAATTATTGGCAAGCCAACATTTTCTTTCTTATCTTGAGAAAATGTCTTGAGGTCCCTGAAGGACCAAATCCATCGTGGACTAACTCTGTGGGTAGAACTCAGATGACCTAGGGAGAATTCAACCACTTACGCTTGGAATGGGAGGAGAGGGGGTGGGGTGGGGGAAGATTATAAGATGTAACTTAAGCTAAATGTAATCTATTTATAAAGCAAGAGACTCTCATCTATTTTTATGAAAGGAAGGGTTTTTTAATCTAGGGTAGGCAGTTGTGGTAGCCCAGCATTCTCCTGTGGATGACAAATGGTGCATGTTGTTGCCGGATTGAATAGAACCCATTCCCCTCCCCATGCCTCGTCTTCTGTCCTCACTTTTGGTCATTAACACCCATGAGCAGCTTCAGCAGACTGTAGGTCCCACTTCACCCCATTCTCCTCTCCTCTGACCCCTCAGTTTCTTGGAAGTCTTGGGGTAGGCTGCAGGAAATTCAGAAGTGTGGTGGGTGGGGGAAGGGCCAAGGCACACTAGGGAGGGGACAAGCTGGGCTCTGGGGGTAGGCTCTGATTAGTTATTCTGACTCTGGTCTGCTGAGATCCATTTCCAACTCAGCTGCGCTGGGAGAGGGTTGGGAGGCAGCAGAGCATGGGTGACAGTGGGAGTACATGACTTCCTTGGAGCCTGGGCCTTCGTGGGTCCCAGGTGGTCAGGCAGCTGGAGTAGGAGTGGAAATGGCATAAGATGCTCATAGCCCAGCCCTGGCTGTGCCTACTGCAGGCCAAGCCTGGGCTGCAGTCCTTGCTGTGTTCCCCCCAGGGTCCTGGCGGAGGGATCAGGGTGCTGGGGGTTTCCTAGGATAGGGGTCTTCCCCCTTGAGACACCAAGCTCTGGCTCTGGAAGAGCTCTCTCCTGAAGTGGGGTGTCTGGAGGGGGCTGGGTGGGTGCAGGTAAAGCCAGATTTTCTCTGGAAGGGAATTTTCTATGAATGGATGATTTCCAGGCTCAGGGTGGGCTGTGTGTTAGTTCTGGGCAAATCCCTCACCAAGACCCCTCCCTCCCAAGCCCTCAAAGAAACGAGGCAAAGCCCTTCCCTGCAAGACCCCTTGTGGACATTTCTGCATCTACCTGATTTTTAGCCCCATCCAGGGAAACTTTATACCCCATGATTCCATCCTGCCCCACCGTTGCTGTTGTCTGCCAGCTGGGTCTAGCATCACAGGGAAGGGGGGTTTATACTCATGGAAAGACTACTGATCCTACCGGAAACCAACCTGTTTACTTTATTGTTGTAAATATCATGCCCTTTATATCCTGTATATTGGCTTCTTTTAAATAAAGTGAAGTGTCTTAGAACTGATGGTGCTTTTATTATGTTTTTGTTTTTAAATAGAAGATGAATCTGCTGATGGGGGAGGGGTAAGAGGACTGAGGGTCACAAAAACACTCAAACTCATTAGCTAATTAGCCATAAAATAGGGGATGTCCTATCACCTGTTACATTTGTAGCTCACAATAAAAGCTTTGGAAGATGATAAAGCAGGAATCATTACACACATCTTACTGAAGGGGAAGAGAGGACCCGAGACATCACAGGCTCAGCAACTGGCTTGGCCTGGTTTGGAACTGATGGCCTTTTAACCACAAAGTCCCCATTTCTCCAGGCTCTCCAACGTGCCCACAGGAGGTCACCTCCCCAGGCTCTGCATTTGACAGTATCCAACGTTCTAGTTTTTCTTGTTAATGGGCACGTTCAGGGCAACATTGCCCTAATGTGAACTGAGCCCACCTGTCTAGGGTCTTCTCCAAAGATAAAGACAAATAGCCGCCACCAATTCCAAGTTGCTTTTTGCCATTCCTAATACTTGGCACTTTTCCCTCTCCGACTCTTCATTTAAATGTTTAAATTCTCCCAAAGTATCTTAAATGGTGTAATCTGGAGAAAAAGAAGTGGCCTAAGATCATGGAGGCATTGTGAGTTGGGTATTATTACCTCCGTTTTACAGATGAGGAAACTGAGGCCCAGAAAGGATCTGTAGTCTGCCTAGTGCCCTATTGAGGAACCAGAATCAGCATCGGAACTGACTCCTAAGCAGGTGCCCGGTTCATGCTGCTGGAAGAAATATAAACAAATTAGAAGAGAGAGTAAGGAAACGTAACATTACTTTAGGAATAGATTGGGTCCCTGAGACCTCGTCATCAGAGAAGACTTCAGAATCCAAGTTTTAAATAGCATTCCAGTGTTTACCAAGCACACAACATTTTGCAAAGCTGACATTTTTACTTGGGGGTAAAAGGCTCAGGAACAACTGGTTTTGCGGCCAAAGGCTTTAAAATGAAAAGCTAAGCGTTGGCCAGCTCAGGTTTTATCTTGCATTGATCGTAATCTGCAAGAAAGCTAAGAAGCTGGCCAGCGCTGGGCCTGGCGGGTAGGTGGAGGGTGGCTGGGTCCTGGCCAATGAGGCTGGAAGGCAGGCTCATTCCAGGGGCAGTCCCCGGGAAGCAGCAGGGAGCTGGCTGCGCTGTGGCCCTGCGGGGTCGAGGAGTCTGGTAGCGGACAGGTTTCCGGCCTCGCACAAATCACTGGCGGCCTGAAAGAAGTCAGTCTGACGCCCACCGGACTCCGGGCGCACACCAGAGGGCCGGGCGCAGCGAGTCCTTCCGCCCCGCTTCAGCACGTGTCCCATTCCGGTTATCTCATTGGCTCTATTCAGCCCCTCTCTGCTCCACTTTGGAAGGCTGCAACAGGACTGCACCGTTGATTGGTTCAGAAGCTTTGGTGTGTCACTCTGATTGGTCGGAGGGGTTCACGCCCTCTCGGGTCATACCATAACGAGAGGAGGGGAAAACGCATGCATTTCAGGACTTCGCTTTCGGGTTCCCTTGCCCTGTGTTGTGTTATGCCCCTATTATGGCATGAACAGATGCTTTTTATTAGCCGAAGCTAAATATAGTGGAACTTCGGCTGATCCCGAGCTCGGAGGACAGCCGGCGTGATCCGTTTCCCCCCGCGGATCGAGGTGGTGCGCTCGGGACGGGCTGTGCATTCTAGCGGCGCCTGGGCGGCCCAGCCAGCGAACAACCCCGCTGCGACCCAGAGATGCTGCTGCCGGCGTCCGCGCTCCGCCGCGCCCTCCTGTCCCGCCCCTGGACCGGGGCCGGGTGAGTGAGCACGGGGCCCGGGGCGGCCCGAGCGCGCGCCTGGGGCCCGGGAGCCTGGGAGTCACTGGTCGTCCCCCGCGCTGCACTCCCTCCATGCCGTACCCCCAAGCTGCTTCGGTCACCGCCGGGTTCCTCAGGGGCTCCCCTCCGACCCCCACACAGGCCTTTCTCCCACTGAGATCCCTTAGCCTCCTCCCTCAGGTAGTCACCTTGCTTTAGCGAGGGGACCCCTCTTCCCGAATCCTGCGACCGAGTAGGGTGCCTCGG